GAAAATCAATGATAGAGGGCAAACAGCAAAGATAACTGCATATAAATTAGATGGGAATGATTAAGGCCTGCTTCAAGATGGGCATATTATCAAAATTCACACAAATTGACCTGTTTTATCAAATCCCGAAATCCCGGGATTTTTCAAAACTTAAATCCCGGGACGGGATCTGAACTGTAATCTCGGGATCCCGGGATCCCGTGCAAACCCTAGTCGTGATGTGCTAATAGTAATACAGTCAACATTCATCATTCTACGATTGGAATTGCTAAAGGCGATGGCAAAATAAAATGCATTCAGGCGAAATAACATTATCATTAGATGTTCGTTTTACGAATCGGATATTGCATTTTATTGTTAATCGAGATGACCAAAAATATTACTATATTGAGGATCATCATGTAAGTGAAAATTATCATTTGTTTTGCGACAGTTTTTATTTGCAGTTGTTTCAAATGCATTTAGAAATAATACGCAGAGAAAGTTTTGAGTTGTGTGTCAAAAGCGAATTAAAATTGACAAAATAGGAATGGAAAGTGTTCAAAAAACATTTAAATGCGGTTCGATTTTGAATTGAAGTCATGAGTGCTGAGCTGAGATAATTAATTGTGTTCGGAGTGTTTGAGATAAAAATAGTGCATTGCCTGAGAACTGAGTAAGGAAAATGAATTTGTTCAGGAGAAGTCAGTGCGGGAACTGATAGAGTGGCATCAAACCACCAAGACACCGGTAACCTCAGCAAGCGGTGCTATTTTGAAGAATGCAATCAGCAAACCAAAATGGATTCTTAAAAATGATTCGATTCGAATGACTAAGAAACTTGGAGAGGGTGCATTCGGAGAGGTCACTCTGAGTTGCTGTTCCCATATTTACTTGCATGATCTAGCGGTATTTTGGGGCTTACGTCAGCCTTAATCGTACATTCACACAATACTTGTACATTTCAATCGATAGGCAGTCAATGTTCATGCAAAGTTCAATATTGCTCGCTGCTGAACAAAGAGATTCTATAATCCTTATATGATTCTATAATAATACATCATAACAAACGTTCACATGGCGACAATGATACGTGGCATATTTCAAGGATACATAAGAAATAGATACACAAGATCGAAATTTCAAATCGTCGATCAAATTCAGTAATTCGCATGAGCAATTTATTGGCAATTAATTAAGCGAACACTGTAACATCGGAATTTCAGGTATATTTAGCTGAATTTGTACCAGATAATGGTAAATTGATAAAAACAGCAGTGAAAACAATGCGCGAACATTGCACACGTGATGCACGTCTTAAATTCATGAAAGAGGCACGCATAATGCGTAAATTCTCGCATCCGAACATCGTTCAGATCATTGGCATCGTCGTTGATGCACATCCACTGCTCATTCTCATGGAGTTGTGTCCTGGTTTGTTTTAGTGGCTCAGTTTTGGATGATCATTATTCATTATTGAATTGCATTGCTTATCGCAAATCTCGATTTATCAATGAGCACTCAATGCTGAAACGAGTGTTGCAAATCTCTGTTTGATTCGGTGATTTGATGAATAAGAACAAATTTACTTCTGTGGATCTCTCAGGTGGGTCGGTGCTGTCGTATCTTCGTAAGAATCGTGGTCGGATCAATGCATCGTTGAAATTGCGTTTTACTGCTGAAAGTGCCGATGGACTAGCTTATCTTGAATCTGTTAAATGCATTCATAGGTTGCACTGCTATTCATTCTTCTCAGTTTTCCTAACCCAAATTTGAATCATGATTTGATCCCATCATACCAAAAACTTGCTTGTGAATAAGAGGATTAGAAGTTGAATAACTTGAATGAATTTGCTGTTATTCAGTAAGAGTTATTTTGAAGGGATATCGCAGCCAGAAATATTCTTCTATCAGAATCACATCAAGTTAAAGTCAGTGATTTCGGGATGTCCGATGAAAGAACTATTGTGCAAGATGAGAAACTTGATAAGGTTTGTTGAGCAGTTGGAAATTTCGCATTTGCAGAAAATTGCTTGCTGATTGTGATCAGTATCGGAATCGCTCAGTGCATCGAATGTATGTAATTGTGCAAAGTCGTGCTGATTGAGACGGTGGTATCATATCATAGATGTAATATATTCAGTGCAACTTCATCGTTTCAGGTACCAATAAAGTGGTTGGCGCCAGAAACAATGCAACAACGTATCTACTCGAATAAAACTGATGTTTGGTCTTATGGAATTATGGTTAATATTTCAAATTCCTATTATTCGTTGGCCGTTTGTGAATTTTCAGTGAATTTGCTCATTTCAATCATCTGCGGACAACGTGAACACTCAAAAATTAAGAGTGAGAATCGATAATGCATACAATCGACGGAAATCTTAATGCTTATCGACTGATTTTATTAGCATAGCAGCAATATGTTTATATATTTCAGTAGCAGTTTA